CCCCCGCCTGCCGCACCCTCGGCCCCTGCCCCTCCCGCCGCCCCCTCGTTCTCCGCCCCGCCCGCCCCTCCCGCCGCCCCCGGCGCCCCCGCTCCGCCCCCTCCTGCCGCCCCCGGCGCCCCGCCCCCGCCCCCGGGAGGACCGGCCGCCCCCGAGGAGAAGCGGTCGAACCTGCTGCTCCAGATCCAGGCCGGCATGCAGCTCAAGAAGGCCGAGCAGGTGCAGAAGCCGGCGCCGGTGCAGGAGGACGGGTCGATCAACATCGGCGCCATCCTCGCGCGTCGCATGGCCATGGAGGGGAGCGACGACGAGGACGACGACGACAGCGATGGTGGCGAGTGGGACGACGGCGGTGACAACGACTGGGACGACTAGACGTCGCCGCCCACCACTTTGGCAGTGTGCGCCAACACGTGCATTTCTCCATAAAAGGAAACATGTTGTTTTGTTTTTACATTTTGTTGTGTAGCGCGTCACCACAAGATAGAAGAAGAAGATGCGGTTGCAACGGGCTCTGGGCTTGGTCTTGCTGCTTTACTGCTCCGGCGTGGCTCAGTGCGTAGGGCAGCAACGACAACGCGAGGGGGATCCCCAAGGGGCGAAGCCGAGACCAGCCGAAGGACCACCTTCTACTCGCCCGCCCGAGGAAGGGAAGAGTGGCAGGATGAGGACTCTTCTCCTCCACCTCGCCCGGCTCCGTGAGGAGTTCATAAGCGAACGCCAGGAGCTGGCCCTACTGAGATCTCGGCCCGAATCCTTCTACGCCGAACCGCTGGCACCCTCCCCCCAGAGCAAGGCCTCACGAGGCCTGCCACACGACCGTCCAGGAGCAAGAAGAGAATGAAGAACTTCACCCAACTTGTACAAAGTCTCTGAGCTGAAAGAGAATAAGAGAGCTTTACGCCTTTCTTCTTCTTCTTCTTCGATCAAACGACCACTACTACTCGAGGGCCTTTCGCAGGGCGGCTTCGATGTCGCTCCGGGCGTCGCTGTCCACGCGGGCGCCGAAGCGGAGGTCGGCCACCCCCATGCGCACGGCCACCATCCGCTCGAGCCGGTGGTCCAGGTCCATCTCCACCTGCCAGCCGAACTCGAAGTAGTTCTCGGCCTCGGGCTTGGCCTCGCTCACCGCCTGCATGCTGTGCCGGACCGTCACCCACCTGTCCTCCTTCTTCTTCCTCTCCTTCTTCTTCGTCACGGCTGTCACAGCTTTGGTTGAAGGAGCTGAGGCGCCGCCGTTGATAGTGGTGGTGGCCTGCTGCTGGTCCTCCTCTTCGCCGCACCGGGCGAAGCTGCCGCTCTCGTTGTCGTCCTTCCTGCTGCTGGCACTGCTCGTGGTGCTGCTGGCGCTGCTGACGTCATCATCATCGGCGGCGGCGCCGTGGGGGTCGGCGGCAGGGTGGTGGATGTGGATGGTCACCATGACGTCGCCCTTTTCTCTGACGGCGGGCAACTGCAGTGACGATGATGGTGATGACGATGGTGAGGCGGGGTCGGTGTTGCCCACGCGCTCGTGCATGAGCATGAGGCACGGCGCGATGACGCTGCTGTGGAGGGTCTTGAGCACGGCGGTCAGGCCTCGGGCCTCGTCACCATCGTCGTCGGACAGCTTCAGCACCTGTCTCACGAGAGGCGCGGGGGGGGGGCAAAGAGAGAAAAGAGAAATGAAAGAATAAGAACGAAGGCTCTCGACGAGTTGATGGGGGGGACACGTGCCTCGCGCAAGAAAAAGCGAAGCGAGGAAACGACGTCGTTCTTCTGGTAGTGCTTTTCGAACTCGTTGGCAATCACTGGTGGGTGGGTGAATGGTGAATGGCGTAAGAGAAGCTTCAACTAGTGTGTGCGTGCGCGTACCTTCTTCCTTATTTGGGGAGAAGACCTGGGCGAGGACCAACAGAAGGGATTTGATGTTCTGCTCCGCTGGCGCGTCAGGCACAGAGCTAAACAACGTCTTGTCTTGCAGCCTGCAAAACACACACAAAAAACTATGAGCAACACACCCGTACACATACACACACGCACGCCGCGAGTGGACGTACGAGACGGAGGAGCGGAAGGCGATGGCAGCCAGGCTCTTGTGTATGGGGAGCTTGTTGTGGGGCCGTGCCCACATCTCTCTTTCCTCTTCCGCGATCCGCGCTTGGCCTGAGTAGTACTTACCTGCGTGCGTGTGCGTGCGTGTTTGGTGTGTGTGTGTGTGTGTGTGTCGTGCGTGCGATGGTGTGTGCGTGCGTGCGTGTGAGCTCAGTTCAGCGAGCGCCGAAGACCCGTGGAGCGGGGCTGGGTACCGATGTAGTCGAGGAAGGCCCGCTTCCGGGCCTCGCCCGCCTCGGTGGCGGGGAAGCGCAGCTTGAGGAAGGCGAAGCTGGCGTCTTCGAGCATGGAGAGGGAGTCATTGAGGGTCATCTTGAGGTGCCACTTGAACGACGAGTCCTTCGTCTTCTCCCACTTGGAGTGGCGCACCGTCACTCGCCCGTCCTTCTGAAAATTAATATCTGCACACACGACACATTGTCATTCACCACACGCACACGCACGCGCACGCGCACACGCACGATACAAAGCGAGGACAATGGGGATGACCTACGTATCTTCCAGTCGCCGGCGTTCATGTAGGTCTCCTTCTCGGGGCTCTTGGTCATGAACAGATTCAGGTGGATCACCGCCGGCGCTAGGATCGCTTGATTCACCAGCTAAAGGGAATCATGACACCACGCAACGACGTGAGACACCGCAGCAACACACGACACACACGACACACGACACACGCACGACACACACGACACACGACACACGACACACGACACACGACACACACGACACACGACACACGACACACGTGCGCAACACACGGCGATTGGTGGCAACCTTGAGGATGCGCAGACTTCGGAGGCGCGGCACCACGACCTCGCCGTCGTCGATGAGTCCGAAAAAGTCCAGCATGGAGCCCACAATGTCGTGCACCGACCCGCGCACCACCTTTTCCTGTCACGCGCGCGCGCGCAACACTTCACATCTCAGCAAACGTTCCCGGTGCGTGTGTGCGTGTGTGTGTCGTGTCGTGTCGTGTGCGATGGTGCGTGCACCTCGAACACGGTCATGATGTGATCGCATTTGGCGGGGTCGACGGTGGACGCCAGCGCCCACAAGACGCGCTTGGTGGGCAGGAACCGCTTCCTTCGCTCGTCGTCGGCGTCCTCCGCAAACAGGTCCGGCCCGTTCAACTGCCGACCCTCGCTGTCCCACACCTGCGCAACATAATAAAATTAATTTATATATAGATATTATTTTTTATTTTAAAATAACTCAATGAAATCAATAACCTACATAATAAAAAACCCAATGAGTAATAATAAACTAGATGATAAATAGTAAAGAGCGAAAAAAAGAGAAGAAAAATGGCGGGGGGGCGTACTCGGGTGGAGGGGGCGAGGCGATGAAGGTCCTTGTGGACGGGGAGGGACCGGAACGAGTCGCCCACCGTGCCCTCGACCTCGCCCCATATGTTGTCCAAGTCGCAGAGGCCCGCTCCATTCTCCGAGTCGCTGGGTCGCGGGCTGAGCGGCTTGCCGGCACCACCACCACCACCCACGGTGTTCTTCACCTTCTTGAAAATCTTCATCTTTACAAGTACAACCGCACGAGCGCAGTGTTGTATTTCTTTATTCTTCTTGAATTTCCGTTAATTTGTTGCTCCGTCGACAGAAAGATGAATTAATTTTTCCACGTCAGCAGAGCGCCCAATGGATTTTAGGTGCTATTCCGATCTGTTCTCAAGACGCCCCGATTGGTGGTGCTGTTGGGAAAATGGGAATATTATATTGGATTCACTGAAATAGGACAATTATCGGGGTGATCCGCTTGCCAGCCCCATTGGTGGGGGCGGATCTCTCGTGCTTGTGCTATTTGTGGTATACCGCTCCGGCAGTCAAGCGCCACAGTAGTGTAAGTGGGCTTCACACTTGCTCTCAGGCGTGTTTCTTTTTGTCTTTAGTTTGAAGTTAAAAAAATGTACAATACATAGTTATCTGTGTTGTGTTGTTGTGTGTCGTGTCGTGTTGTGTTGTGTTGTGTGAATGGTGAACTAGTGAAGCGAAAGAGAAGGCGCGGCGGTGGGTCCGGAGCTCGCCGTGGCAGCGCCGGCTCCCAGGATGGAGTAGGACGGGAACAGCACCGTAGGCGGCATCGCCGTCAGCGCGAAAGACAGGAACGAGCCGTTGCCAGCGCACTGTTGCTGTTGTGGCGTCGGCTGCTGCTGGGGCGGCAGGTAGGGGTGGAGTCCGCCAGGGGCCATTGGGTGCGGGAAGGAGAGGGACGGCAGGATGGGCTTGCCCTGGAAGGTGCGGAATGGCGACGAGGCCGAGAAGAGCCCGCCGGCTGTGACGGGCGTTGTCGAGGGCGACGAGACCGCGCTGTCGATCTCCTGGTCGGACGACATGGATGGGATGCGTTCGATGTTGACCACCAACTCGTGGCCCTTCCTGCGGCGCTTGGTAAGCGGGCCCTGCGCGTCGTCGTCGCTACCCTCGACGCCCGGGTGATCGGCCCCCATGCCCAGGCGCGGCGAGGCCGCGGCCGAGGCCGAACTCGAAGGCGACGAAGGCGGCGATGATGACGTCATCATGGACATGGCGCCGGCCCTGGCCGCCGCCGATGACGACGATCCAGACCTGAGCGCCGCGTCGGCAATGGCGCCGACGTCGATGAGCTTCTGGCGCCTCTCGGCCTTGAGCTTGCCCTTCTTGCACAGGGTCTTCTGGTTGCTGAGCCACTTGCCCAGGCCTGGGTACTCCTTGTTGCCCTCGGCCACGCGGCAGTTGCCCTTGACCCGCTTGTAGGTCAACAGCCACTCGAACTTCTCCTCCCACCGCGCCTCCAGCGCCGCGCTGTACTTGGGCTTGCGCGTCTTCTTGCTCGATGCCGACGCCGCAGAGGCGGTCGATGATGAAAGCGGTGAGTGTGCGGCGATGGTGGACACGGGCACAACTCCGAACGAGCTCGGCGAGTTGTAGGGCTCGGGCTGGCCAGGGTAGACTGAGGCGGAGGCGGTGGCGGGCGCGGTGACGCGGTGATGAGGCGTCATCGGGGTTGAGGCCGGCGGCGAAGGCGTCGACGACTGCCGCCGGGTGGCGTGGCTCCGGCTCCGGCGTGTGGAGGACGATGGATCGACATATTCGTCACCCTCGGAGAAATCTTCTTCCTCGGGCTGATCGACGTCTTCGTCTTCGTCGTTGTCGCCGTCCTCCTCTTCATCCATCATCGAATTGCTATCTTCGCTTTCGCTTTCGCTCTTAGCAGCTTCGCTTTCGTTCTTGATGTTGGCCGGGGAGCGGGCAGCGACGTCGACGTCGCTGACCTCCTCGTCGTCGGCCTCTTCGTCGCCGTCGACCGCCATGCTGGATCGCATGCGAGAGTACTCCTCGACCTCCGACTCGCTCTGGTCGTTGCTGTCGGCGCTCTCGAGTTCGCTGTCGTTGTCGTTGTCATCGTCGTCGCTCATCACGCGCGCCGAGTCCGTAGCCTTCAGGAGGAGCAACAGGTGGATGGCCCACTTCTCCTCTTCGGGCTCGGCCGAGTCCGTAGGGCCGGGTCTGGCCGGGTCATGTCGAAGCACCGGCTGGTCGGTTGGAAACGTATTCTGTGTTGTTGGTTGTTGGTTGCGAGAGTGATGGGATTGGTTAGTAAGGTTAAGGCACAATGGTCGGCCAGGAAACCAAACTCTCGGCCAATTGCGTTAAGGAAATTTGAACTGGAAATTAAAAGATACCGAAAACACGCCAATCGGGGATGGTGTGAACGGGAATAGGAGTTAAAAAAGAAAGTGGGAAAACACAAGGGGTGGGAATGTTTGCGCAAATGATGAAACCACCGCCGCGAGCTAGAAACGAGGGATATTTGTATGAACGTGACACAGTCCTGTGTCTCTTGGGGTGCTTCTTGGTGACACACACAAATAAAAGACACAACTAACACTGAAAACGGGGCGAGCAATTCCAAGACCGGACATTATTTTGGGAGAGAGATAAAACAGGAAGCAAAGACACCCTACACTGAAGAGACACACCGCGGAAACGCTAAGCAAAGAGTGACGCACAACTGTTGATGGGGATGTTGACGAACCGTTTGCAAACCGTTTGTTGGGACCTCTCTGGGCGTCGCGCTCTTGCGACTTCGCTTCCGGCCGACCGGCGTGCTTGTGGTCGTGTTGGGGAGAGTAGCGAGGGAAGCCATCATCGTCCGGCCGGCGAGTAATGTCACTGTCGGGCGTCCGCGATGTTGGCGTGTCCGCGGGTGGCGTGTGCGGTGGTGGCTTGATGTTGATCGGGGCGCGCGCGAAGGATCTCTTCTTCTGGGCTCGACGAGAGGTCTGGCGTTGTCGTTTGGTGTTGGTTGTTGAGGTCAAGTCACGCGAGCTGGAGGTTGTCGGCGAACTATAGTGTAAGTGTAAGAAGTGATGGAAAGGGTGATGACGTTCGCTCACTCTCTTGTTGAAGAGGGTACGTGGCGTACGTGTACTAGGGTAGAAGGAAAAGAAAGAGAACTGGAGGCGGAGGAGGCCGAGAGCACAAGTATTACGCAAGGGGGCGGTCGACGGCGCAACGCGATTCGTCGGTCGGGCTCGACGGTGTGAAAGTGTGCGTTTGGACCGGAGGATGTGAAGAGAGGAAGGAAAGTGGAAGGAAGCTGCCGGGCCGGAGATGAAGGTCCAGGACCAGTTGGTCTTTTGTTGCCCGCACTGACCACTAGTGTACCCACCGTTGCGGTGGTGTGCTTGTTCGGCCGATACGTCTGGTGCGTGCGTGGGCTAGCTTGATGCTTGTGGGGGTGGCGATGAGGTGAAGACAACCGCCGAGGCGCTCACTTCTTGTAGGAGGGCGGCCGCGACCACTCATCCCGCCCCATCATGTCAGCCCATTTGTGTCAGTGACACAGGCACTAGGTTGGCCCAAGCTTCATGAAGTGTCAATGCACCACACGGACAGATGTTCGGTCGATTTCCCTTATCAGTCTGGTTGCCAGGCCGGGAATTGAGCCAAAGCCCCATTTGAAGGGGATGGATCACTGACTGGTTGGTGAAAATTCCCGGCCAGTCGCGTTTCGTTTTTTCTGGCGAATCGCGCCGAGGCCCACCTGGGATCCCTGCCTGTCGGATGGGCGAGCTCTTGGTTCAGTTTCAGGGCAAAGGGCCACAGCATGTAAAACAAGTTAGGTGTTCCATTGTGGTGCTGGTGGTAAATGAAAGTGCTACAGGACCATTCAATTTTTGCTTGCTGTGCACCAGCTGTTGCTCCAGTAATACTGCTATTGGTGCTCTGTCCAACTGCAAAGGTATAGACCTTTCTTTCTGCTTAGTGACTGTGCCTCTCCCATTAAACCATCTCTTTCACCAAAACTTGGCCACCCACAAGCTGGTTCATACCTGTAACCCCAGGCCACACAAACACAATTTGTAATCAGCCCAGCTGGCCACAATTGTGGGATCTGGACATGGCCAACACAGCAGAGGTGCATGTGTTGCAAAATCAATCCATTAATGCTGCAAAATAGCAGTTCCTTCATGAGATAACTGGAAAGCAACTGGCTGAAGTATTTTTTTTGCCGCCTCCCTTGAATTTTGATTTTTTTTAGCCACCCCGTAAAAAGACAAATAAATACCATATTCCTTAGATGCCTCAGCTGATTTCTTGACTTTTCTTTTACACAGATTTGATTCAAGCAAGATCAGCCTCGATGGACGGGACGCCAGCCAAGGCGCGGAAGCCACTTTTCCCCAGCACAGCCACTATGCAGCAAGTACGCTCCATGCCCCTTGTTTCGTTTTGCTAAAACAACCGAAGTAATGCAGCGTTGTTTGGATGTTTGCAGGCCCCTTCTGCGCCACTATTTCCCATCTTCCCCTCCACCGCTGCACTCCCCTCGCCGCCTCCCGTCCCCTCGCTCTTCCCCTCTGCCGCTGCACTCTTCCCCTCTGCGGCTGCTGCCATCTGCGCCGCACCACCGCCACTGCCGCCCTCAGCCGGCGCGCTGGTCCCTGCAGCTGCTGGGGGTGGTGCGGCGCTGCCCTCATTCAGCTCCTACCCACAGGAGCTGGTGCCCAAGCCGGCCCCGCCGCCGCCGGTGGTGCCTGTCGCCGCCTCGGCTCGAGCCTCCTCCTCTTCTTCCGACGACTCTGACGCTGACGACCGCAGTCGAAGGAAGAGAAAGAAGCGAGGCAGCGATAGGGAAGGAGACAAGGAAAAGGACAGGAGGAAGAGGAGCGATGAGAAGAAGAAAAAGCAGAAGCGGAAGAGAGAAGAAAGAGAGAAGGAGAAGGAGAAGCGCAGGAGGAGGGACGGCAGAGGGCGACGGCGCAGGGATGAAGAAGAAGACGAAGAGGCGCGCAAGCGGACAAAGGAGGAGCGGGAGAAGGAGCTCCAGATCGAGCGCAGGCTGATGCGCGAAGACGTGCGAAAGCCGGCCGCACTCTGGCTCACCGAGCCTGTGGAGTACGCACACAACCGCACGACACACGAACCACCGCACACGCACCACCGCACACGCCACCACATTCGCTAACCGTTACTGTACAGATCGTTGCCGGTCGAGAGGCTGTACAGGATCGATGCCACCGGCGACAGGAACAACCTGGTGTTCGGGTACCTC